GCGCAGGTGAAATTCTGAATCAATTGCTTTGAGCTCAATTATCTGAATTTCTGTAGAAGATACAAAAAATTGGGCAACTGATAAAATGTTTCAAATTTTATGGTTATCATTTTATCAGTTGACCACTTTTTGATATCTTTCATAGGAACTGAGATAATTGAGCTCAAATTTTGGACGGGTCATTGGCGGTCTATGAGCGTCTCTGTTTGAGCTCAATTATCTCAGTTCCTCTAAAAGATATCAAAATTTTGTCAACTAGTAAAAAGTTTCAAATTTTATGTTTATCATTTAATTAGCTAAAAACTTTTTGATATCTCTCAGAGGAACCGAGATAAATTAGGTCAAATGTACCTTCAATTTAGGAAAACCAAGTCGGAGAAGCTTATCGTTTCCATAAACATTGTATGAGCCGCCAGTAAATGACGTCAAATTCTTGAATCCCAATTCCACAAGATTCTCATTCATACTAATGTCGATTCCGTTGTATTCTGGAAAATCAATATTTTCTGACCTACTAAAGTCGATGAGATACAACTTGACAAGCACTAAAAGATGATATGAGTTTTAAAATTGTATATTGTTAGGAAGAATGTTATAGGACAAATAGCTTTTATAGCTTTCACTAACTTCAGAAATCGTTTTTGGAAATTTGCTGATAAAAGTTCCCTTTTTAATTTTTTTCTTTATTTAAAAATCGCTTTTTCGGAAGATACGAATTTGGAAAAAAAATAATTGTTTGTTTAAAAATGTTTTTTTTAAACGGCCACACTTTTCTGTTAATCTTCAAACTATGTAAAATTCGTTCTTTTACGAATAATACGATGAATTATATAAATCTGCAGTAATGTGTTTTAAAAAGTTCTTTCTCTAATAGAAGACTACCAAAATCGTCAACTTTGATGTTAATTGTCTCAGTTCTCGTAAAATATAACAAAAAGTAATCAACTGATAAAATATTTCTGATAATATGATAAACATTTTATCAGTAAACCACTTTTTGATATCTTTCACAGGAAATGAGAAAAATCTACTGGAAATTAGGGTCCTTTTAGAGCCGCCAATAGGCCGTCACTGATCCGTACAGACTTTGAGGACAATTATCTCGGTCACTGTAAGAGATAACAAAAAATGGTCAACTGACAAAATGTTTATGATAATATCAAACACATTTTATTAGTCGACTATTTGTTGATATCTATCACAGGAAACGAGAAAAATCGGTTTGAAGTTTGATCCCGTACAGCCGCCAATAGGTGACCCGTTCAGACTTTGAGTCCATATATCTCGGTTACTGTAAGAGATAACAAAAAGTGGTCAACTGACAAACTGTTTATCATAATGTCAAAAAATTTTTATCAGTTGACCACTTTTTGATATCTTCTACAGGAATCGAGATAATCAAGCTCCAAATAGACAACTGTAATCACTTTGAAAAAATTCCTCAAAACAGCCAAATTCAAACCCATATATTTCGTTCTCTGTAATAGATATCGAAAAGTTGTCAACTGATAAAATGTTTATCACAATATCAAAAATATTCTGTCCGTTATCCAATTTTTGATACATTTCACAGAAACCGAGAAAAATCGGCGTGAATTAAGGGTCCCGTTACAGCCTCCAATAGGTCACCATTGATCCGTCCAGATTTCAAGCTCAATTATCTCGGTTCTTGTAAAAGATATCAAAAGTAGTCAACTGATATAAAATGTTTATCATAATGTATTATATTTTGTCAGTAAAACAATTTTTGGTATCTTTTACAGGAACCGAGATACATGGGCCCAAAATTGACGGTTGGCTAACAATGTGAAAGCTCATGTGTATCTTCTTTTACTCATAACATTCTTCATAGGCCAAATAAAGATTCATAGTTTATACAATCTTCTAGCTTTTGTTAAATTTTATCTTATTGATATTAGTAGGTCAAAAACTAAAAGCCCATAGATCACTCACTAGACTTTAAAGTTTTAAGTCCATCCAAAAAACTGAGATCCTTAAAACTCGTTGAGAAAACATAAATCCCTCCAATCAACGTTTTCAAATTCTTCAACCCATTTTTCAACTGTTGCACCGTCAAATCCGTCTCATCGCTTATCAATAAAACTGAGCAAAGTTTTGGACATTTCGAAACTGCTAATATATTCTTGGAGCTTAGTACGTCAAAGGGGAACGTGCATTTTTTGTCTGGAATAGACCATTTTTTGTTATTTTTTGTCTGAAAATTCTAAAAAAGGAGGTCTCACCACAGCCACCAAACTCATCGTCCATAAACTGGGAATTTCCGAATTTTGAAAAAATTAGCAGGACCAAAAGTAGTTGTATCAATAAAAGTTTCATTTTTCAAACAATTTTTTTTTGAAGGAATAAAACATTTCGTATGTTGTTCGCTCGTTTTATACGGTCACACCTATATTCCCGTAATCCCTACCCACAGTGCAGAAAATTAGTTTTTTTTGGTATAAAACCGAAAAAAAGAAAAGATCACGAAACTTTTTTAAAAATAGTTTTTTCCGAAATTCCTAAAAATCGAAAAATTCAAAAAATTTGAAATTTCGGAAAATTAAAATTTTTCAAAAAAATTTTCATTTTTATTTCAAAACGATTTCTAGATGCCTGATCTTTCAAATTATAATTGCTTAATTACTTAATTACTATGTTCAAATTCCAGCTTCCCCCCCCCCCCCCTGGCCATGGTTTCCCAAATCCTAGGCCACCCCGCGCTGCTCCTTCAAAAAAAGAAAGAGACGCAGAGAAAAAAAGAAAAAGGAGAGCTTTTCCCTTTTCTTCTTCTTTTTTTTCTGCAAAAATAACGAAAAAAAAAGAGAAAAGATACCTTTTCATATTTTTTCGCATTTTCGTTGTAAAAAATTTTTGTGGTCATTTTTGTTTGAAACTTTTTCTTGTTCGAAACTTGAATTTCCCGTTTTTAAAAATCTGTTTTTCCTTCAAAATACGTCTTTTTTTAGTTATATAAAATTGGATTATCACCTGAAAAATGAAAAATAAATCGCTGAAAAAAATTAACTCGACTACTGTCGATTTTAAATTGTGTGAACACGGTGACGACAAATTGCGGTCTTTCGAAAAAAAGTTTTTTTTCAGTGATTTTTCAGCGATTTTTAGCCAATTTTCAGCCATTTTTCGGCTATTTTCTCACTAAATTAGTATTTTATATCGATTTTTAAAAAATTTTTAGTCCATTTTAGTCAAAAAATATCAATTTCTAACCGGATTTTTCGAATTTTTTCATAGGAAAAAATCGTTTTTTTCCATTTTTTTCCGTTTTTCCTCTCAGAATTCCTAAATTTTCTTGCAGAATCAATAATGACCGGTTCAATTCTAAACCTAAATCAGCTCCTGTCTTCTCCTCAAGTCCACGTCAAAGATATCAAGGCTCTAACCGATAAACTCTCAAAATTCGTCGCCGGCGGTGCGGATCAGCTAATGGTGATCTCGGATTTCGACTTCACTTTATCCCGATTTGCTGATAAATCTGGAAATCGCTGCTCCTCGTGTTATTGCGTTTTTGACAATGCTGTTGGCACAAATAACCCAGAATGGTGCCGGAAATTCGTTGGATTGTATCATAAATATGGGCCAGTTGAGCATGATCATTCGCTGAGCATCGAGGAAAAAGTTCCGTTCATGGAGGCGTGGTAAGTTAGGTGAAAATCGATTATAGTCGAAATTTCTTTTTTCTGGCGGAAATTCTTTTTTTTCGACTTTTCTGCCATTTTTTTGCTTCAAATCTATCTTTCCAGTCGTTTTCCTCACATTTTTCACTCAAAAACCTCGAAAAACCCAAAAATTCCGCTCGAAAACCATTGAAAAAAGCCAAAAATTCATATTTTCCCCCAAAAATAATTTAATTCCTCTTGTCCTCGTAGACTACACCTTCGGAGTTTTCTAGTCCCTCGACTTCGGCCACCGGCCAGTAAAATGGCGCGCGTTTGAATCGGATATTCAAAATTTTCGGTTTGCTAATTTTCAATTAAAAAAAAAAAATATTTTTTTGGAGAAAAAAAACAATTTTTCAGGTGGCAACAATCGCACGAGCTGATCATTCAGGGTGGTTTCAAGCGCGAGGCCATCGATGACTATGTTTCGAGATGTAATATTCAGTTGAGGTAGGAATTTTGGAAAATTTTAACAAAAAGATTTCAAAAGCATTTTTAGAAATCTCAAAAAATCAACAAAAATTGAAATTCTGAAAAAATTTTTTTTTTCGAAATTTCGAATTTTTTTCTTTTTTCCAAGTTTTTCGTTGTTTTCACCGTTTTCAGCTCATTGAGAGCTTCAAAATGAGTATAATCACGTCCCATATTGCTCAAAACAGGTCCCACCACGAAAACTACAGTAACCAGGAAAGTTTTCTTCATTTTGTGGTGGGACCCAATTCGAGCAATATGGAGCATGATTATACTCATTTGGAAGGTCTTTTCAAGCTGAAAATCATGAAAGTTGTTAAAATTATAAAAATATTCAAACTTTCAAAATATTCAAAAAAATCTAAAATTTCAAAAAAAATCTGAAGTTTTGAAAATTATTTTTTTTATTCAGAAAAAATTTTTTTTTCGATTTTTGAAATTTTGAAATTTTCAAAATTTGATTTTTATCTTAAAAATTATAATTTTTCCAGAGACAACGCTGACATAATGATGAAAAAAATGACGAATCACTCGGTGCCCTTCATCATCTTCTCCGCAGGAATCGGAACTATTATCGAGATGTACCTAAAGCATAAATTTGGAAAAGTTGAGGACAACACGCATATCGTTTCGAATATGATGGGTTTTGATCAGGACGGATACGTCAATTCGTTCTCTGATCCTTTAATCCACGTCTTCTGTAAAAACTCCTCTGTGATGCCAGCTGATAGAACGTTCTCTGAGCAAATTCACGGAAGACGCAATGTTATTTTGTTGGGTGATTCTGTTGGAGACGCTTTTATGGATGTTGGTGTGGAGGAGGAGCAGCTCTCCTTGAAGATTGGATTTGTTAATCATGATGTGAGGATTTTAGAACCGTTTTAGAACAGCGACGTTTTAGAACCGCGACGTTTTAGAACCGCGATGTCTTAGAATCGCGACGTTTTAGAACCGCAACATTTTAGAACCGCGACGTTTTAGAACCGCGATTTTTTAGAACAGCGACATTTTGGAACCGCGACATTTTAGAACCGCATCATTTTAGAATCGCGATATTTTAGAACCGCGACATTTTAGAACCGCGTCATTTTAGGACCGCGACATTTTAGAACCGCGATGATTTAGAACCGCTAAATTTTAGAACCGCGACATTTCAGAACCGCGACATTTTAGAACCGCGACGTATCAGAACCGTACATTTCAGAACCGCGATATTTCAGAACCGCGACATTTTAGAACCGCGACGTTTAAGAACCGCGACTCCCGATTTTCAATTTCTTGGAAATTTTCAAGTTTTTCCAGGCCGACAAACTTGTGGACAAGTACCTCAACTACTTTGATATTGTGCTTGTCCACGATCAGTCAATGAATGTTCCAAATCAAATTCTCGAGGCGATTTATGCGAAATCTCATTGAATTTTTTTTATTATTTTTACGAATTTCTCATTATCAAAATCCCCTAAAATTTCACCTAATAACCACTCTCTTTGCTGCCGTTCTGATTTTCTGAAAATCCCGAATTTTTCCCTGTTTTTATTGTTTTTTTTCTTTATTCCAAATTTCAATTTTTTTTGAATTTCCCTCCCAATTTTTGCTCATCTTTCATTCTGGAAACTATCAGACACCATCAGCTTTAACTCTTCCATTTTTTGAAATTTTTCAAAATTTCCCAGTTTTCCCCAAAAAATCAATTTTATGGCATAATGTTTGATTTTTTAAATCTAATTTTTGAATTAAAATTGTTTTTAAAAATCATTTTCAAATTTTCAAAAATTGAAAAAACATGAAAAAGGATTTAAGAATTGTTCCTTTAAAAGTTTGAAAAAATCCAAAAATTAAAAAAAAATTTTTATTAAAATTTTTAAAAAATTAAATTTTTTTGAATTTTTAGAAATTTCAAAATTTCAAAATGTTCCAAGCGCGCCCTATTGATAATCTTTGATCCAAAGGATCCTCGAAATTACCAGAAAAAACATGTTTTCTGTTGATTTTGATTTTTACATGACACTTTGATCCCCATCCTCTGTTTCTCTAACACTCTCTTAGAATCCAATGATCTCTCCTCGCATTTCTCATCCTTTGCCCAATTGGTTTTTCGTGACATTTGGTCTTTTTGAGGACCAGCTGTTTGAGAAATTTTTGGGGTCCCAAAATGTGGGAGGATGAGAAAAGAAAAGCAGGAAGAAAAAAGAAAAATGAGTGTTGCAATTGAGAAATTTTCTATCTCTTTCTTAAAATCTTGGGGTCCCAGGTCACCAGACCTGGACCCTTTTTTTGTGCTGATTCGCAACTTTTCTCACATTTACAAAGTGTCAAATTGAACTTTTTTCTGCATTTCTAGGAGTTTGTTGGGTTAAAACTAAAATTTACTGTACTTAAAATAGAAGAGCGCCCTAACTTCCAACTTTGAGCAAAGTTATCTCGAGTACTGTTTAAGATACCGAAAATTTGTCAACTGATAACATGTTTGTCATGAATTGATAATAATTTTATCAGTTGACACATTTTTGATATCTTTTAAACAACATGAGATTATGGAGGGTCGAAGAAAAATTTAAAAATTTTTTTCTAATACAGATATCACAATTTATCTTTACAAGGGAACTATTCAGATTTTGATGAAAAAAAGGTTAAAGGGGGGCTCCGACCAAAAATTTTTTCCTGCCGGACATGAAATTGAAAAAAATCCGGAAAATTTGCCACATAGGAAAGGCGCCCGCTGCCGTTGCCTAGGTTTCTCACTGAAAATCCTCGTCCCCCGGCGGCACCTTTTTTTGAATTTTCTTCCTTTTCAACGCCGTTTTTCGGGGATTTCGGATTTTTTTTTTGAATTTTTTCGCAATAATATTCGGAAAATAGATAACTTTTAACACATTTTAATGCAATAAAAATTTTTGGTCGGAGTCCCCCTTTAAAGTTTCAGAAGTAGTAGTTCCCATTAGTTATTTATAAATCAATTTTTTAGATTTTAACTACACTCTTTTCGATTAAAATTTTAATTTTTGCTAAAAAACAGATGATAAAAAATAAAAATGAAGAGCGAATTGAGCAAAAATATATACAGTACTGATCAGTGATGGGAGGAATTTCCGTTTTCCGTTTTCCGCCCGGTTTTTAGAGATTTTTTTTCCGTTTCCGCGGAAAAAATGTACGATTCCGTTTCTTTTTCCGTTTCCGTAAAAGTGAAATTTTATTACCGTTTCCGTTTTCCGGAAAAATCGCCATTTTTTTCAGCGGAAACGGAAAAAAAACAATGAAAACCAACGAAAACATAAAATTGAAACGGGCTTGTAAAAAAGCATGGAAAGTGATGCAAAAATCGTCCAAAACGTTAAAAAGTGTATATTTTTATGTTTGAAGCGAAAAAAAAAATCCTGAAAAATAGACGAAAAATAGAAATTCCCGTTTCCGTTTTCCGTTTTCCGCCCAATTTCGAAGATTTTTGTTCCGTTTCCGTTTCCGCGGAAAATATTGACGATTCCGTTTCCGTATTTCGGAAAAATGCGTTTCCTCCCATCAGTGGTACTCATACTTGTAAAAATCCGGGCCGGGCCGGGCCTGAGGAAATTTTCAAGGCCCGGTGTCAAAAATTCTGTATTTTTGAGCCAAATTTTGAGCTCTCAATATAATTTTTTCCATTTTTTTTTTCGTATTTCGGATTGTTTGTCTGTCTGATCAAAAAAGGTCGAAAAACTCGAAAAAAAATTTTTTGGTCGAAAAAAATCACATAAGGGTCCCCCCTTATGTGTTTTTTGAAAATTTCGAAACTAGTGAAATGACGGGCCCGCCGGGCCTCCGAAATTCCGGAAAAAGCCCGGCCCGTTACAAGTATGCTGGTACTGGTCAACAAGATACACAAAAACGTATTTTACAGTTGATTTTCGCCCATTTTCAGGAGTCTAGAGCTTATTCGAAGGAACTGTCGAAAAATTCTGTGAATGCAAAACTTTCAATCTAGATCTGCTTTACACCCTCCGAAATTTTCAAAATGATAGGAATTTTCAATTATCGATAGTTTCCAGCTAGATTTTGAATTAAAAATCAAAGCATTTTGGAAATTCACAGAAACTTTGAGAAAATATGTTCATATTGTTTTTCAGACAATCGGAAAATAAAATCAAACTCAAAATTATCATTTTTTACTGTTTTTCAAAACACTGATAAATTAAAAACAATGAAAAATTTTTGTGATTTTCAGAAAAATCGAATTCCAGAAAGTTCAAAAATGTTGGCAATGGCAAGGAAGAAGTTGAGTATCAGGAGGTGAGTCTTGGTTTTGAAAAATAGAAATAAAAATTTAAAATAAGAATAAAATACTAATTTGAATATTTGGAATTCAAAAGTATTAATTTTTCAAAAGTTTTCATTCTTTATTGCTCAAACGCATTTCTTACAACAGTTTTAGAATATCTGAAACAGGATTTCTCAGTTTTTTTAAATATGAAAAATAAGAGAATCTTCTGTTTCAAATTGGTGTGTTCTAGTGGAAACTTTATAACAAAACGTTTATTCTATCCAAATTTGCACATATTAATTTGAAATTTGACTAGATTTGAGTGTTTTTGATATCAAAAGTCGATATATTCGAATTTTCCAATTTCGTATTGAAAACTGAAAAAATGTAAATAATATCATAATTTTTACAAGTGAATTATAGCGAATCTAATATTCTTGACATATCAGCAAATCACCGAAAAAATAGAAAAATGCTTTAGAAAAAAGCCTTCAAAAAACCTCCACAATAAAAATTAATTGGCTCTAAAATTTTCAAAGGTTAATTGTTTTTTTAAGCTCCAACCTCCCATTATTACAACCTTCTGGAACTTTTTTTTTCAAAAAAAAAACGGAAATTCGATCCGTTTTTCAGTTGTCAGCCTTTTGTCTCATCAAATTCTCACTTTTCCCTAACTTTTTCTCAAGTGAATTTGAGAATTTTTTTAAATTTTCGCTTTTAATTAAATCCGAAAAAAGAAGAAAATGATGAAAGTCAATGGATTCGGGAAGAAATTAGGCGAGAAATTGACCGCTAAGCAGTTGAGATCGAAGTTTGAGAGACAAGAAGAATGTGATGAGTCGTATTTTGATGAATTGTGAGTTTTTGAAATACAGGGGGGGGGCTGGGGGAAATAATGTTTTGAACTTGGATTTGATTTTGTAGAATTACGTTTTGATTTATTTTTCCCTATCTTTGAGCTCAATTATCTCCCTTCCTGTGAAAGATATCAAAAAGTAATCAACTGATAAAATGTTAATAATAATATCGAAAACATTTTATCAGTTGACCGGTTTTTGATATCTTTCACAGGAAATGAGATATGTAAGCTCAAAGTTGGAAAAGTTTTTTAAAATGCAGTTTATGAGTTACTTCAGTATTTCGGATTGTTTTACATCAAAACTCAACAATTGGAGAGAAAATTTTCAGTTTCACAGAGTTGTTTTTGAATGCATTTTTCGATTTTTCTTCATTAAACATATCGTAGACACTGTAATATATAGCCCCTCCTAATTGAACGCCACCCTCCAATTGAATGTCACCCCTAATAGAATTTTATGCATTTTTATCCTGATTGTTTCCCACTTATCGTATTTTCACAAAATATTCAGAGCATCATCAGAATCTTTGCAAGAAATTTCAGTAACGAATAATAGAGTGCCACCATCTAATTGAATGTCACCCTCTAATAGAACGTTCTCCCAGCTATACATTGAAAGTAGAAGTTCTACTGTAGAACGCCATGGTATTAAATTAGAGTTTTTACGGTATATCTTTTTTTGCTAAAGTTAAACAAAGAAACAACAGATGGAAATTTTTGGCCTAGAGAAAATTAACTTTTTTTTAACGAATTATAATTTTTCGAAGTTAATTTCCAAATCTAAAATTTCGACATTATCAATTAAGCCAAAAAAAGTTGCCGAAAAAACGCAGACTACTGTGGGCGAAGCTTAATTTCCAAGACAGCATTATAATCGTATACTAATCATTGGATTCTATTAAAAATTCTGAAAATTTGTTTCTAAAAATTTCAAAAAAATATATATTTGTATTGTTTAGAAATCTATATATTATAAACTCTCTAACTACGCCGAAACCGGCGAATGGAGCCCATATATCTCATTTTCTGTAAAATAAATCAAAAACTGGTCAACTGATAAAACAACTTTGATATTATGATTTTTCCTGTTGACCTTTTTTTTCATATCTTTTACAGGAACCGCGAGAAGTTGAGAGTCATTCTATTAGAGTGGTTACATTATACTTTACCATTTTTCTCTTCCAAAACCCCTTTTTTCCAGAAAAGAATCACGAAAATGGCGGGAACCCCCAGAGAAAGCGCTTCGGTTCGAAAATGTGATTGTTCAAGAAACGAATCTTCCAGTGGAACAAATGGAAGAATCCAAGAAGATGTTAGGAGACGCGCTTCAATTGTGTGGAATCGAAAATGAAATCGCCAGTTTTATGAAGAGGAAATTTGATGCGAAATATGGTAAGAATTAGAAATTCAGAAAAAAAAAACAAATGAATTTGGGAACAAAAAATTTTTCTCAGTTTCAAATAATAAGTGAATTGTCTTGAGAAAGTAAAAAATCACTTTCATTATTTTAGATGTACATGATGTATACACTTCAAAAATGACCTATAGAAACAAAACAAAACAATTAAAAATTTAGAAAAAAATCCAGATAATTTCAGAAAATTGTATTTCAAAAAATATTTTAAGTTTTCCAGGCGGACACTGGCAATGCATTGTTGGACGAAACTTTGGGAGCCACTTGGATCCGGTTCAATTCATTCATTTCACTGTTTCCAAAATTTCAGTTATTTTGTTCAGATAAAGTTTTTACGCTTATTCAATTTTTATACTTTCCTTGATGTAAATTTTCAAATTTTTTTGTAATTTTTTATGGTCTTGTTTTGTAAGCTTTAAAAATTCTACAATAGAGATTTCAAAAAGAATTTGAAACCGAAAATTTTGAGAAAAACTTTAAGTTTCCTAGAAATCTTCAGAAATCTTCTTCTAATAGAGAAATAGATTTGGAAAAATTAAAGGCAAAAATCACTGTTCTGGCACTGCTAGAAGCCGAGATATGGCTATTTGAAGTTTGTTGAAGAGACGCAGACAGTTAGAGTGTCTCGTTGTCTGCGTCTCTCACCTTCTAGACTTCAAATGGCTACATCTCAGCTTCTAGATGTCGTAGAGTAATGATTTTGCAACAGAAATAATTCTGGAAGATTGCATTTTCAGAAAATGGAAAACCTTTGACAAAATTCTTATCCGAAAAATGCTAATTTTTGCAACAGAGTGAACTGTGGCATCAATTGACACTTGAAATACAAAAATAAATGTAGCAACATTTTGAAACATTTAAAACGTTTTTTGCCACCTCGAAAAAAAAACTAATTTACACTGCTGAATTCCCCAAAAATCTGAAAAATTCGAGACAAAAACCACTGTTCTGGCACTGCTGGAAGCCAAAATATAGCGATTTTAAGTTTATTGCAGAGACGCAGACAGATAGAGTGTCTCGTTGTCTGCGTCTCTCACCTTCTAGACTTTAAATGGCTATACCTCGGCTTTTAGATGTCGTAGCGCGCTCATTTTTGGTCTGATAAGTTGCTGGAAATTTGTATTTTCTGAAGTTTAGAAAAACTGTTCTGTTCCAACGATCTTCAAAAGGAAGCAAAATTTTACAACTGCAAAATCTTTAATTGTCGTAGAGCAGTGGTTTTTGGACTAAAAATTTCTGGGAAATATTATTTTTAGAGGGTTCAGGAAAAATATTTTAAGGTCGGCTTCTAGATGTCATAGAGCGCTCGTTTTTTGTCTGAAAAGTTTCTGGAAAATTCTATTTTTTGAATTTAAACAAACACAGTAAAAAATTACCAGAATTTCACAAAAATTTTCAACTGTTTCCGAAATTTCAGTTATTTCGTTCAGATAAAATTTATAATGTTCCGGTGGCATTTCCGATTTCTGGACAGTTTTGAAACTAAATTTCAGTTTAAACATATTATTTTCTGATTCAAAGGTGTATGAACTTTCCATTCTTTCATAAATATCCAGTTCTCCTTTTACAGTTTCGGGTAATTTGTATTTTATCGAAAAAAAAACTGTTTTTGTGTAGTTTTAATGTCCCACTGTTGGAAATTCAGCATAAAAGATTTCCACACAATTTCAGAATTTTTTACTGTTTCCCAATTTTTATTTAATTGGATACTATTATGTTTGGTCGACATATCCAGTTTTTGGAGACTTAAAAAAAATCAATTCCAATTATGCATGTTTTCTGTTTTAACAATTACAGTAATCAATTTTCATTCACACAAAAATTCAAAAAAAATCATTTCCCGCCATTTGGTTTCTTCAATCGTTCCATATCTTCACAACTCAAGTCATCGAATCGTGTTGAAAAATGATTATACTGTCCTCCAACTACATTCCTTATCGAAAAACAAGCGTTGAAATCGAATTTCAAAGAATTATGGTTATTCTTGAAACTGGCTCCAATCATGTGATCAGTGTAGATTCTCTGAAAACTCTCAAAGGATACAGTAACCTAAAAAAATTACCTGTAATTTTGGAAACATCGCACTTTGAAGCTTCTTGTTGTCTTGAACATCGATTGCCAGTTTTGTTGTATTCAGTTGAACAATTTCCAATAAGTTTTCAAAAACTTTGAAATCCGTTAAATTTGAATTCTTGACAATTAGACTTCCATATAAGAATTTCAAAGATTTCACTTTTTTGAAATCGAATTTCGGCCCAATCTTCAAATCTCCCACCAGATTTTCACATCCAATTTTAGGAGCTACACAGATTTTTTTGGTGGGATTTCCAGGTTTGCAAACTTTTGAATCAAACATGAAAGAATTGATTTTTCGGAAATTGAGGAAAATTTTGGCTTCTTGAAGTGTCATGCAAAATTTTGGAGAATTTGAACCAAAACTGACTGCAGGAGTGAAAGAATATGGACTATGTAGTTGGGCATTCTGAAAATCATACTTTTAAACCGGGCCATTGGCTCTCCATAGTTTCTTTTATAATCAATTTTTTTAGGACCATCTAATCAGAAATGATCGAACTTGACAAGTACTACAAGATCATAATATTTTGAACACTGGTTATGAACAAAGTTACAATCCATAAAGTGGCCGAGCGCAGCCGGGCCTAACTAGGTTCATAGACAAGATACAGTATTTCAAATAATGTCATTTAGTAGTTCTCGTCCACATCTATCATATCTGATTTAGCGCCAAAATATTGATTCTAAAGGAATCTGTGGCAAGGTCCGCGAAAGCACGGCAAAAGCCAGGTTTAAAAATATAAGATTACCTTCAAATTTGGCAATTTCAACCTTTTCAATTTAGCATTAAATGTTACAAAGAAAGTTCCATTTATTGAGGTCAAATTGGTAAGTCCCAATTCTTCTAATCCTGGATTACCACTTATAGTAACACTGGATGTGTCTGAAAAAAAACCTGTAATAGAAGAGCCCCTAGCTTGCTTCATATGCTAGATATAAGACGGTTGAAATTTGAAGAATTTTTTTCTCATTTTTGAAAATCGGAATTTTTCATATTCTATGTACAAAAAGAACAGAGTTAATTGAAAGAACAAGCGTTTTTCAAAAAGTTTGTCTTTTCGACAGGTTTCGTCCAGTGTTGTCTTGCCTTTTTACAATTCAGAAATTTTCTGTATGAACATTCCAGAAATTAGTAAAAGTTATAGAAAATGTTTATTTGAGGGACCTGAAAATGATATTGAACAAAAAAATAGGTGGACAAATTAAAATTGGACAGTGTAGACAGTTGGGACAGTGTGGATAGTGTAGTTGTAGTTTGCTCAAATCCAGGTGACAACCAATATTCCTGCATTTTGAACTTTTCGTTGCTCTATGCATTCTTTTCTTCTACAGGTACATAATCGGTTCGCCTCCCGATTCTGTACTTTTTCAAAGGAAAAAGAGGTCACGCCAAATTCAAGTGTTATTTGAATTGTGCCACGAGAGGGAACAAAATCGGCAGGCAAACCGATTCTGTACCTAGTGAAACAATTCAATTTTTTTCTGATTTCACGTGTCTTTTTGTGGATTTTGAAACATTACTCATGAGATCCGATTTCGAACCAATTTTTTGATCGACATCAACTTCTACAATACGCTTTTCCGGGTGAGAATAAATTCGGGTATTCTTCAAACTGATACAAATTC